CGAGATTCTTATTGGATGGAGCTATCCTTGAACTTTGAATACTATATCTTAAAATTAGTAAGTTTATATGACTATCTCATGGTTACTTTGTTAAATGTAATGAATGAGGATACAATGAATGAAAATGCATATAAGCAAAGAACATTTGCTTTAAAACAGTGCTCAACCAAAGGATTTCATTTATTCCAAAAAAATTTTATTTACATAGAGTTTATCATCCTAGAGTTATAACCATAAAATCATTTGATATGCTCATATTAGGCTCTGGCTTCCTCGATGAAGTTTAGGAGACATTACCCATGTTCTCCTACTGGGGGCATCACTTGTTTCAATGCCTCTGCCTCTTCTACCATCTCTCTTGCCTTACATATCCCTTTGTAAATTTGGGTCGTTAAGTGCTTAATGTACTTCTGTCTTCTTAAGTTCTCTCTTTTACTACACCAAACTTAGTATGATAACTCTCTATGCTCTTTAACTAATGCAGTAATGTAATCTTCTTGTTCATTCAACTTCTGTCTCAACCTGCTTAGGTAGCTGTTCAACATGTTATTCTTTGTCTGTACTTGGGTACTTTTTTTTCAATTCAACATATTCTTGTTTCAATCGCGCATTCTCTTCAGTCAGCTCAATAATTGTTATCTCTTTGGCTTGTACCATCACACATAACCTCTTATGTTTATGGTGTAACTCCGATAAGTCTTTGACAGCTATGTCACGTTCCCTAGCAATCTTGCAAACTTTAACTTCATGCTTTTTAACTCTATCTTTCCATTGATCCTTCTCCTCTCAAAGCTTTTGGATTTTTTACTTTAACTTATCTTTTTCAGACTCAAATTCTTTTGTTGTAAGCTCTAATTTTGATGGTGTCTCTTCAAACTTTTCTCTTATTGGTGATTGAAAGCTTTCATAAATGAATACCATTTCGTGTCTTCGTCTTGCTCTCCAAACCAAGTACCCCTGAGTGACCTTATCAGTGAATGGTCTAGGACTCACTCTACGAGAATTTTTTCATACTTTAATCATCTCATTCATCATCTGAAATGCTTTCGGCTCACTATAAGAAAAATTTGATTGATGAAGCTCATGCGTCATAGAAATGAATTGTGTTACCCCAAACTGTCTTTTCACTAGAAGTGGCACATAACTTGTTACTCCCCATAAACCCAAAAGTGGGATGACAATGTTATCTCCACACTAATATAGCATAGGTTCTAGATTCATCTACGAGACCAACCATCTTATTTCGGTACTTATCAATTTTTGTAAGAAAACTATCCACTCCTTTTAAATTTTTATTCTGACCATCCATTTTCGTAGAATTCCTTAATCGAAGCTCGATTACGAACATAAAGCTTTAAGAAAATACCTTTTTTTTCATTTGAAATGACTTTTCATCCATAAGTACAATAATTGTATGCAGCCTATAAAACGTCTTCAATTTCAACGATAGTAACTCAAAGATCTGACAGTCTCTGTTAATATTACCGTTGAAGGGTTACAGTCATAGATCACACTCTGAAAGAAGTCAATCACTGCTATTTCAATATAACCCAAAACCTTTGAAAATATCATCATTTCATATATAGCTAAGGTAAATACATCTAACCCCCGTTTTTCGTTGGTATGTTGTACTAGAAAATCATGAAAGAACTTCTATGGTAGGCAGACATGTTCTTGTTTCTTCTTTGTATGTGAATCCACAATCTTTTTGTCTATCCCCACGAGATGGGCAAAATCCTTACGGAATCCTAATTTATGTTTTTTGACATATATTTTGTCAGAGCCTTGAGGTGCAAGCCCAACAAAGTCGAATATTCTTTAATGGTTGACGTCATATCAACTTCATTGAAGATGAAACACTTGTATGTAGGATTTCAAAATTACGCTGCAGCTCTAATTAGTTTATTGTCGACGCTTACTACGAGAAAGTGTGTTATATGCCCATATTTTTGGCAAAACTTCTTTTGTCTAGCTGGGCTCATCTTCTTTCATATATCAACCAAATCCTCTAGATTATTTTGTTTGAAAAGGATAGATGTTTCTTGAGACAAGGTAGAATCATAACTGATTGGTAAACAATCCCCCATCTTTAGTTGAATCTTTTCTGACTTGACTTTTACTTCGTTGGGTGGCTCACAAGGAGCTAATACAAATGAGGAGCAAACTAATCATTCTGTGGAGTCCATGAAACACTTTTTATTAAAGATCATCTTTCAAACAAATGTTCTTTATGCAACTTTATGATATGAGCATGAACCAATGCAAAAGAATGAGAAAAAAGGTTAGTATACCAAATAAGGAGAAATAAATAAATAACTAAGTAAATTAAAACATCACACAAAACAAGAAGAATGAACCATATGTTTTTGGTCAATTTTAAAAGGAGGGAGATGACTCATCTATAGGTTAGGCATTCTTAAAGTTCATTATATGTGGTTCAAGGTTAAAAGTCTAAAGGTTCCCAAATTATTCATTACATCATTGTCCATCACAGACTAGTAAGGCACCCAAATCCTTACCCATTACAGGTTACAAGCGAAAAAGATTCAATTTGAGTGAGAGTATTTCGTCAGTCACTGCAGAGGTATTAAATCTCACGAAACCAATAGGTATTTTATTCTCTCCTAGAGTGATGGAGCTCAAATATAGAGCTCATGTTATGCATATGTATATGAATAACAAAATTAACAAAATAAATAAATATGAATGAATAAAAAAAATCTATACAAAAATTTTATTAGACTTTCGGATAACACAAATTTATTTGCTGGCTTGACTCTCAGATATCCCCAGTGAAGTCGTCAAACTGTCATAACATCTAGATTCGAAGATTTATCGCTAGACATTGACTTTAAGAGTCGTTGCCAATCTTTTTTGTTTAGGTGCGATTGGTCACCTAAGAAATCTATCCATTTAAGGAACACCTAAGCTTGACTAAGTGTCCCTAAAAGAATAGGTTCAGGTCTATTAACTATAACAATGTTTGAAAGTTCGATAACGTGTGAGGAAGGTTATAACACCCTCACACAACGTCTATTGAAAGATAGTACCAGCTTGATTTTGTGTTATCTGATAAGCCTTAAAAATTTTACCAAGTAATTGATTATTAAAAATTATTCTTAATTAACTCCAATACTTTTGACAGAAAATTAAAAAAATTTTCTCACCTCAAGAGTATGCAAAGATACTACTATTTCACTTGTAGAGACTCCATCGTCGGATTATTTAACATTAAAAAAAATTCAAAAAAAGAAAAAAAAATAAAATATAAATGAATAATGATTCAACTCTTGATATAAATCATTTTATTTTCATAAAAAAAAACTTATTGCTTTTGTACAAGAAAAATTGATACTTTCAACTTTTCTTTAAAATGTTTTTCTTGATAATTTTTATTTTTAAGAAAAATTGGTACTTCCAACTTTTTCTCAAAATATTTTTTTTTGAAATTTTAATTTTAATAAAAATTGATACTTTCAACTTTTTTTAAAAATACTTTTTGAAAAATTTATTTTAGAAATTTTACTTCCAAAGAAAATTGACACTTTCAATTTCTCCCTAAAAATATGTTTTTTAAATATTTTTATTTTAAAAAAAATTGATACTTTCAACTTTTCCTTGAAAATATTTTTTTTTGAAACTTTAATTTTAAGAAAAATAAAAAAATGTATAAAAATAAAATAAAATAAGGAATACCAAATAAGTCTAATTTAGAAAATAAAATAATAATAATAATAAATAAATAAATGAAAAAAAAATTTTAACGCGGCTCGACTCTGTGGCTGGAATTAGCTTGGCTCGAGGCATAAAAGAAGGCTAAAATGGAGTGGCTCGGGGTATGGCTCGACGGTTCAATAGGGAATGGGTGATTCGAGTCAGATGCAGGTTACGCTACGGGTTAGGTCAGTTCAAGCAGAAACGCATGAATTCTCTGGGTTTACTAACACCAAAACGACATCATTTTAGCATGGTATTTAAGGTTAAAAGCTCAGCCTTTTAGCAGAGGCGTCTTTCTTCTCTCTCTTCCCTTCTTTTTCTCTTCATTCTCTCTAAACAGAACTTAGTTTTTCAATTGAATACTTAATCGAAAATTAAAAAGTACGTCAAAATCTAGGTTTTGGCCAAAAAAATCGTCGAAAAACTTAAATTTGGTTGAAAATTTTCACTGGATTCTGAAAAATTGTCAAAAATTTTTCAAAAAAGAAACTCCAAAAAATTCAAAAAAAATTTCTAAAAATTCTAAACTGGCCGTAAACATTTTTTGCTTCTGTTTCACCTTTCTCTTGTGTTTTTTTTCCGTTTGTCCTTTCTGTGTAATTTATGGATCTATTTATAGAGATTGATCAGAAGAGTTTATGATCAATCCCAACCTTATCTGAAATTTGGATTCAAGTCTTTAAATCCAATCCAGACTTCTCTAGTCCCATATTCATGGCTGAATTCATTCCAATTTTTTTTTTATCTCCCAATCGAAAATTGATCAAAAAAAATATAAAATCAAAAAATTTTTATTTTAATAGATAAATAATAAAATATATTAAAATATATTAATAGATAAATAATAAAATATGTTAATAGATAAATAATTAATAAATATATATTAATAAATAATAATAGTAATAATAAATAAATAAATAAAATAAAAGTGTAAATGAGCTTACTTATTTGAATCATGCTCAATTTATCCGCACCTGAATCAAATTGAATGTCTACAATTAAAACTATGATATCCACGGGCTAGAAGGATGCTGACAATGATCCAGTTGATATAACAGATGATCCAATGTATGATTATAAAAGGATGCAGAAGAAATACTAAAACTTGTTGGGAGTTAAACCAGTCCAGCCAAATTAACCATGGTCCTCAAGGGATTTTGCTAGGCTTATTAGACGTGGATGTTACTAAACAAAGCTAGGCAATAGTAAAACATCTTAATTGCGTTATCAAAAGTGAGCTGATCCAATTTATTATAAGCTTGAGAGTTTGGAAGGAAGCATACTGTTAGTGAGGAACATCTGCAGACCCCATAGAACATCAAGGGACCCTTTGTATCTATCCCTCTTACAATCCGTGAATAACAATGGAGCAAACATCAGCGTCCACCCAATAACAAAGTTGAATAATCCCTCAGACATCTGACAGTGTTAAATTAATAAATCTGCGGAAAAGAATAAAGTTCACTCACCTAAATAGGAACTGAAGCTTACCGGGTGAAGAACTGGGGCATCAATCAGACGAATGCCAACTACTCTGCCAAAAAAAGGTTCATTAATTTATAGATCATCATCAAGGAAACAACACAATAAAAAGGAAAAGGAAAAAGAAAATCTTTTGTCTAACTCCAAACTCCAATTAGAAAAGTCAACAAATTTTGTCTATTGCAAAACCAAATAGTACTATATAATCCATGGAGTTGTTGAATGTACCAGCATTTGTCAAAGGCAAAATGAAGAAGAAATTGAGAGAAAGACCGATGAGATCGTTTATTGTGCTCGAACTGATGGCCCATACAGGATCACCCTGCTTAACTCAAAAATCAATCTTTTTGTTTGCAAGAACCGAAGAGAAAGTGGGAAAAGAAAAGAGGAAGCTTACAGGAGCATAAGGGAGCAAAAAGAGCCACAAGATGTAAACAGCCTCAGCGGCCCACAGAGCCACCTGAAAAACTCGCCGCAAACTACCATCCTCGCCTTCTTCCGAGGTGGAAACCATGGCGGTGGACTTCCGGCGAGACGAATGGCATACAATGGCCGTCGAATGGAGGGGTTTTGGAGTATGGAGGATAGAAAAGGAGGTTGCGAGCCATGTTTTGCAGGGATGTTTGCAAGGATAGAGGTGGGGATGAGACAGAGAGAGTGAAGGAGGGTTAGGATTGAAGGGTGCTGGTCTTGGAACAATCGGGCAACGGGTGTTGCACAGCAAAGGTTGAGTTGCTATTAAAGCCATGCCCTTCACTTCCTCTTCATCCACTGGCTACAGCTGATAAAAAATAAGAAACTGAAGACAGCGACAAGCGACTCTTCCAAAAACAAAAATGGGGCTGAGCTTGTCATACGTGGTTCACTCATCATCCACACTGAACCGTTAATTTTTATTTTGCGTGTGCATATATATATATATATATATTAAAATCGTTACCGCTTTTAAAGTAAGGAAATATCATACGGCGTCGTTTTAAGCAAGCTTCTATCCACTCCACCTTACTTTGTCAAACGGGCCTCTATTATATCTGGCTTTGTCTTTTGAGGGAAACCAAATTACTGAGAGGAAATTATTTTTCCCGCGCATTATAATTGAAATTCTCCGATCGATGGCTCGGAAACCCGATAGCACCGAAGGTAACACCGACGCTCTCTCTTTCTCTCTCTCGCCGTCGATAGCTTCTTTCTTCATTTCATTCTTTATTATAGCTTTTCCTATCTTTTCAAATTTACGACGCCGATTTTTAAATTTATTTCAAAAAGAATTCTCCATTTATATTATCTTCTTTGATTGAAGCTCGCTTCTTACTTTTTCCATTTTTCTTTTTCTAATTTTAATTCGCAGCAATCGTGCTCAAGTACGTGAACGAGGTATGCCTTTTTTGGCTTCTTCTTTCGTTTGCGGCTTACTGTTAAAATCTTACGTTTAGGCTCTCATTACTTGTTCTGGTTTCAATTAGGTTTAAAATTTCTTATTCATTGTTTGGATAATTTATGTTTAAACTGGTTGCTAGAGGAAATCGATTAAAGCTGAGGTTTTTGTAACAAGATTGCATTTTCGTGATTTGTGCTACTTCACTTTATTTTTTTCCTTCTTTTTGCCTAATTTTCTTGGCAACCAAACGGAGTATAATTCAGTCTTTTGATATTTCATCTTAATTATGCGGCTACCAAACTCCGCTCACTAGTAATTGCAAACTACAAATAGAAAATAAGAAATAAATTTTTAAAAAAAGAGGTTTATGAGACTGTTCATTTTGATGAAACTTTTGCTATACGATTCCTTTTAAAACGACGGGTTTTTAATCAGGATTAAGATAAATAACCATTGACCGATAGTGTATTTCTGCAAGTGCTTGTGATTACTTGTTGTTGAAAGCTGTTTTTAACCTAACATGGTTTTTTTTTTTTTTCTAAACCAGCAAAATCGGCCTCTAAATTCTCAAATTGTGGCTGATTCTTTACAAAAGTTTAACCTCAAAAAGGCTTCAATTCAGAAGGCACTGGATAGCCTTGCTGACAGCGGAAAGATTTCATTCAAGGAGAATGGTAAGCAGAAGATATACCTTGCTCGTCAAGACCAGTTCGATATCCCCAACAACGAAGAGCTTGCTTCTATGAAGGAAGAAAATGTCAAACTGCAGGAACAGCTTGAACAACAAAAGAAAGCAATCGCTGAAGTTGAGGGAGGTAATAATCTTTAAACATCAGATTATTATTCTGCTGAAAGGATAGCTGATACTTTTTGAACATGTCAGCCCTGGTCTTAAGATTCTATCCTTTGTTTCACTGTTTTTGGTGAAAATTTTATCAGAATGTTCTCAAATTGTGTTATGCAAACATGGTTGTATACTGTTGTTGCAGAAATCAAAAGTTTGCTGTCAAATTTAACTCTGGAACAGATACAAGAAAAGGAAGCAAAACTAAGGAAAGAAGTAAGGGTTATGGCTAAATTTGCCAATTTGGAAACTTTTTATTTCTCTTTGTCAAAACTGGTTGTGTTTTTAGCAAACAAGTGGGAAATTTTTTATGTTGTTTATCATGCATCAGGTTAAGGAAATGGAGGACAAATTAGTTAAATTGCGTGGAGGAGTTACCTTAGTTAGGCCAGAGGAGAAAAGGGCAGTTGAAGCCGTGTACTCAGGGAAAATCAGCCAGTGGAGAAGGCGTAAAAGGATGTTCAAGGATCTCTGGGATGCTATCACTGAGAACTCACCTAAGGATCTAAAGGAATTCAAGGTTCCTAAACGTCACTGTTTTGGAAGAATTCACATTTTGCACCATAAAAGTTATCTCTGACAGTGATTACTGTTTGCAGGAGGAACTGGGAATTGAATATGATGAAGATGTTGGTGTGAATTTGCAATCCTTCTCTGATCTCCTTCAGCATGGGAAGAAGCGAGCCAGAGGCCAGTAACTTAATGTGAAGCGTTACCTACTTGGTCATCAACTCAGACAGAATTTGGTATTTCTCTAGAGATGAATCATAAATCTGTTCCACATATTTGTAGATTCTTCATCCATACTAAATCTAAATCTTTACTTCTGGATCCTACATACAGAGTGAGTTTCTCTTTTTACATGAGCATTACATTCCAATGTTTTTTCATTGAGGTAAAGGGTGGATGATGCTAGTTTTTATAGAATTACGTTTGAATAATATTGCAAGAAAACGCATTTTTACTTTGAATCACAGTTTGTAAATATGAAGAGCTTAAATATAGTCATTAAGCTTGTGCAAGTTGTGTTTCTTTTCTGATTTTATCGATTATAATCCTACTAGATTATCTTTAGGGACTAGAGTAATTTTCCAAAATCTTTTGCTTCACAAAAAGTCTCAAAAATCATTCAAAAAAAAAAAAATTTGAGTTTACATCTTATGACAATTAACAAAAGAAAAATCATAGAACTAAACCAACTTACAGACTCAGCCAACAGTATAGTTGGAACTCGCCAAACTTACCTACAATCATTTAATATACTTGTGCTCCTCAGTACCCACGTACTTGTCTAGTCCTCAAAGAAAACGGCCCCTTATTTATGGTAAACTGTCGTTTACTTCTCATCCCAGAACTTTCAGCGGCATGTTCTTTGGTGTTTTCGGCACCAGTCTCCACCTTCAAGCCAGCACGAAGGCTGGAAGGGATTTGCTTATCTGATGTGTAGTGAAACATCAGTCCAGTTTTTTCTGAGTGCTCATCATCCATATCTGTATCTATGACCTTGTCTTTAAGCTTCCTTGTGTTCATATCAAAACTCAAACCAGGGGAATCATAGTTATCATCGTCACTTTCAGGGATAACTACTTCCTTCTCCAATAGCTTGATTGGGTCCACTTCATCCAAGGACATTGTCCTACGGTCCAGGTTTCCTTCTGTTGAGCCTTCACTTGAAGAAGGACTAGAGATCTTGATGTATGGTGTCTTCTTGATCTGATTCAACTCCTCTTCTTTACCATGATGAGTTTGCTTGTCTTTAGAATTTGATTCATTTCTGTTAGACACACCTTTTCGTTTACTATTGGGACTGTTTTGATGATCAGGGTCGTGGGAATCAGACTGAGAGAGTTCCACAGCTGCTCTTGCTGCTGCTGCCGCATATGCAGCTGACTCAAAGGCTGCTTGAGCAGCATCAGCTACATCCCTGTACTTTTTCCTTGCTTTTGTTGAATCAGAGAATTCAACATCATCTCCTACATTGCCACTTAACTTTGCTGATATGTCTAGCTGGGGCTGGCTTTGCTTCTTGCTTACATCCAAATTATCCTGTATTGATAACATAATTGGCATTTCATGAGTTCATTTTTATATGTTCAACATACAGTAAAGACTTTCCTCTCTTTCTTTTCAAACCCCGTTGATCCTTGTAGTAAATTGCCTACCTCACTGGAAAAAGAGGTTTCATCAACTTGTAGAGCAATGCCATTCTCAGCAGCAATCTCCTTGAGGACATTCCTTTTGTTCTGCAAGTCTGGTTGTCTGGTTGAGAGTTTTTGTATAATCTGTGGGAGTCGAAAATTATGTTATAGCATACTGCAGAACTCAACTAAACATGATTCACAAGAAAAGCTAGGAAATTATATTCCTATGTTCATTTGGGCACAAAGATGCACATTTCACAATTGGAGTATCCGTTTTATGTGAAAATCATTCATAATGCAAATTAATCATTTCATTTTTTTTTGTTAGCTACAGTAATGGTTGCTCTACTTTTCTGGTTGATCTGACTAGCCAAGTTCTTCCAGCACTGATGGTGTCACGAAAACTATGTCTTGCCACTGAGCGTAATGATATCAATACTAAAACCTAGAATAACTATTTTTCCTACCATCTTCGCAGATTTTTTTCACAAAGCAACCACTAGTAGTAAGCATGACACAAACAAAAAAGAAAAGAAAAAGAATAAGAAATACAATCCCAGGAATATTGTTCACATATCTGATGATACTTTTAATAGTAAAGAGACTTCATTCCATGCTCAAAATTAAACAATAAGTTCTGGTATTAGTTTCAGACCCTGAAGGATAAAAACCTTTCATGTTTTAATCAGAGATGAATATTAGGATTTCATTTTTCAAATCAAGATTTACCTTAGTGTTCACTCCACAATTGTTGCGCAACTCAATAGCACGAGCAGCGAATTCTTTGCCATAGCGAGACATGAAAACTGCACGAATCTCTTGAACCTCGGGAAAATCCCCACACCTTGAAGATGCAAAGAGCAAGCCAGATATTGCCTCCTTGAGCTCGTCAGGGCATACTCTGCAAGAAAACAGAACTCAGAGTTATCAAGAAACTGAAAACCAGTATATAAAAACCCTGACAAGAAAAAAAGAAAATGGTCAAATAAACTAACCTCTCTTGTTCAATAAGATGGACTCTTTCAACAACAAGATTACAATACCCTTCCAGCATAATAAACGCGTCCAACATATTTTGCTCCTTGATCACCTTCTCAACCTGCCCAAATTAACAAACCCAAGTTTAATTAGCTCGAAAGTACAAAGTAAACCAACAGAAGAAACAAAGAAACATTTCCGAAAACCGATGTCTTTACTCTAAGAAGAGCTCGATCATGGTGACCAAGTTCAAGGAGCTGCACAACGTCGGAACGAGCCTGGTTGCAAAGAACCTGACGCTGGTTCTTAAAAACAGCCAGACGAGAAATGGCAAGACTGATGATTGATTTGAACTTGGAGGGCTTGAAGGTTCTTCCAAGCAAGGCATCAAGCTTCTTCCCCATAAGCCTCCTCTTTGGTCTGTTTGGTGAACAAACCTTTGAATTGAATGAGTTATCTCTCTCTGTCTCTAACAAGAGAGGAGGCTATTAATAACAGACACACGAGAGAACAAACAAGGCAAGGCTTGTTTGTGCCTTTACGTAGTGACGAGAGAGAGAAAAAGAGACAGCGTGGTCCGCATGGGACCGTTTACGTGTTCCATGGGATCTCTTAAAAGGAAACTTCGAAGTCTTTTTTTTTGTTAAAATGAAGCAGTGGGCTAATGGGAAAATTTGACAAGGAAAAGGAGGATTAAAAACGCGGTTGGGCCGTCAATTTCGAGGAACCGACTGCTTGGAATTGACCCCCACTCCCGGGCCCATGTTGTTGAATGAGACGCATTTCAGGCACGTGAGCAACAAGCGCTGACCGTCCAAGGGGTAAAAAAGAAAAAAAATTTAGAAAGAAAAATTAGATTTAGAAACGGAAAATACATTCATTATTGTAAAAGACATTGTTGCGAAAAATGCCATGTCATAAACGTAATAATTATTAATTGCTAACGTATTATTTTAAAACAATAAATATCGATATAATTTAATATAATAAATTAATATTACGAAAAACAAATAATCTTTTCAAATCCCACACTCGATGGTTCAATTTAATTATTGTATAAGTTGTTCTTATCGAATGGATCCAAATTGTTTTCATTATTACCGTGAAATTGTACAAATTTTCTTCATAAAATATATATATAAAGTACAACTTTTGACCTGAGCGTGGTTAACAGGCGAGCGTCGACTGCCTAGAAACAAGAAGTTTCTTAACAATTTCCAGAGCCACAGTATTACGAGAAATGTAGACAGAGTCATAATCAGTTAATGAAATAACTTAAACACATTAATTATCTTTTCATTAATTGCTGAAATAAAATATAATGAAAACTATCAAGATAAATAATATAAAATTATTCTTCAAGTATTTATAATAACCCTAATTCATCGATGATTCATAGCTTTTCAAGAAGCGCTAACTGTGTACCTCCTTTTTGCATTATAAGAATTTAAATGATCCTCTAGCTTGAATAAGCTGCACAAGTTTAAATAGCAAAAAATCATACAGCCTTCCAGCTTTATCAGCATTATTGAACCAGGCCGTGGTGGGCAAACTTCAAATTCAAAAAAAATATATATGTAATTACTTTCATCGGAGGGTGGGATGAATTTCAGCTCATTCAGCTTGCAGACATCACAATTCACACAAACTCACAAAGACCTTCAAATAAGCTACTTTCAAAGTTTTATTTATAAAACCAAACCCACTCCCAACACGCAGCACTCAAAACCAGCTAGCAACAATCAGCACAACACCAAAACAAGCCGTACTCTGATTCCACACCCACCCCACCCAGTAACGACAATACTGATAATCGGCACCCCAATCATTCAATCAAATTGAGAGCCATCTAATGACACATAAATAGTGCAGATTCTCCAAAACTTTAAAGTATCGGTCATAGAAACAGAGGATAAACCAAAATAGACCATTTTTAAAATATAGAGATACACTATACTGTTGCTTTATTTGGAAAAAGAGGAATCAGCCTACATTTGGACATCCTTCCTGAACTATGACTATTGTTGCTTCCATCAAAGAACCTATTCAACTCAAGATTGGTTACTCTCCCGAATTGGTGATCGCTCCTATGAACCACACCGTTTGCTGCTAATGGGGATTACAGTACTACAGTATTGACTCTAAACTTAATGGTTGCATTCAGAATTTCGTTTATAGTTTTTGAACTATGTTACCCTTGTAGCAGGCCTGTCCTGCTTCTTTTTGGATGAGTAAGTGATTACATTTACCCATATATATATAAACACAGAAAGAGAGAGAGAAAGAAACGAGATATGATGAACAGGCTTTTCAACCGTACAATTTTAGAAGACACAAATCAATATCATACAAATTATCACCTAAAAATGGTAAGACAGGCAATCAGGGTAGTAATTAGAAAGAGATAATGTCACCCACAATAAAACCCAAGATATCCAATGTACTTTTATCGAAAAAAGATATCTAATGTACAGAGAAAAAGAATGCATCCACGGGTAAGACAAGGAAAGATAAAAACAGGGAAAGAGACTGAGAACAAGTACAATAAAGATAATGAAATCAAAAGAGCCATACAAGAAATGAAGGTTAGACTCCATGAGAGTAGCAAAGGTCCCCTTAGTCTAACACTAAGGTTATTGTTTCATGGGTTCCCTTAGTCAAGAGAAATGTTGCATCTGGTGGTACATATTTGGATCTATATGAAGTTCCTATTTCTGAATATGGAAAAACCATAAAAGATTGGGCACACTCTATGTCCATTGTTGTAATCGGTTATAAAGATACATGGGCAAAAGAAAAATTTTTGAATTATTTCTACGAAACATGGCAAGGTGATATTTTACGATTTTTAAGAAAATGGAAAAATTCATAATCAGGGAAAACCCAAAAAGGGATACTCCTTCCTATTTCTGAATATGGAAAAACCATAGAAGATTGGGCACAATCTATGTCCATTGTTGTAACCGGTTATAAAGATACATGGTCAAAAGAAAAATTTTTGAATTATTTCTGTGGAACATGGCAAGGTGATGTTTTACAATTTTTAAGAAAATGGGAAAATTCTGAATCAGGGAAAACCCAAAAAGGGATACTCCTTAATGTTAAATGCTATCCCAGATATTTTAAAACCCAAATACTCAAACGAGTTTTGTGGCAGAATGGAGGAAGCTGATCTTAATAGTGAAGCTCAATTTATCCTATCAAAAATGAAACTTTGTAATATTAGAAATCTGGAAGAATATTCTCAAAAATATGTTAGTGAATATAAAAAACTGGATGAAGCACATTCAGCATTTTGGAAAGAACAATATTTTCATAAACTTCCTTCACCATGGGATGAATTATGTTTAAAAAATTATCCTACTTATCTAGAGTTACATAAGCCAGCTAGTAATAATTTAGTTTATGTTGATACATTAGGAAATAGAGTTTATTTTCCTCAAAAACAAGTTGTTGAGTATTGTCTTAAACAAAAGGCTGCTAAACAAATTAAAAGCAAACTTAGTGATAAACAATGCACCAAGATTTTAGAACATGAATTTGAATTTGGTTGTAATAAACAAACCAAACATATTATAAAAAACCTCGAAAGCAAAAATATTATAAAATGGTTATGTGGAAACCAAAATACAAGATTACTAAAAGTAAAAAGTTTGTTGTTAGAAGAAAAACTTCTAACAAAATCAAAATCTAAATATAAATGTTTTATTTGTGAAAAAGGTCTTAATAGCACCACAATGTCCTAATAGGGGTAAAAGTGCCAAAAAGGTTATTAAAACTCTTGAAGAAGAACGAGAATTAGCAATTTGTTTTGATGACAAATTATCTGATGAAGAAATTATTTATGAATTAATTTCTGAAACAGAGTCAGATTCTGATACTGAAACAGAGTGTATTTTTATGTTAAATTCTTCTACAAATCCTATTGTAGATACAAATACAGAAATTTCTACTGTTGAAACACATCAGATGACTTTTTTCCAAGATGTAATAGGAGAAAATCATATTATTACAAATGAAGAAATTTCTCAAATGCAAATCATCAAAAAAGATGAGATTATATAAAACTTTTTTCTTAAAAAAATTTCAACCTTGGGTACAACATCACATTGAAAAAGTCAATCGTGATATAGTTACAAATGATTCTAAACAAGGGTATGTTGATATTCCTCTTTTAACAAAAGAAAAAATCAGGAAATTTAAACAAAAATATCCTGAAGTTAGACATATACATATAGGTATTATTATGATTACTATAAAATCCCTTTTTATTGCTGGTAAAAACATACCAACATTAGCAGTTTTATTAGATAAAAAGTTCATCAATCCTGTTAAATCCATAATAAGAGGTATTCAATCAAATTTAGTCTCAAGAGCTATTTGGTTTAAAGTAAAACCAAATTATTTTATTTCAATTAATGATCCTTTAATAGAGGATTGCCTTAGATTATGTATTAAAACAAAAAATTTCAGAGATTAGAGAAGTAGCACATGATCTTTCTATAAATTGGACGGCAATTTATGAATTGACTAATCATGCTACTACTACTATTAAAGAAATTGATTCAAAAATTATAGAAATTTTTTAACCAAGATCTTATGATTTAGAAATCAAACCAAGACTTATGAATCTAAGAGATTTATTGGTTCCTATAGATTGGCTATTAGAAGATGTTACTGAAGAAAGACCTACAAACAGTAGAGTCAACTCTTTAGAATTATTTGCATCAGGAAATAACCTGTATTTCAAAAATCCAGATACTAGTAGTTCTAGTAAAAATCTAGTACTACCTTCATCTTCTTCAATACCCTCATATTCTAACAAAGAAGATGATGTTGAAAGCATTGCTAGTGAACAATCTTTTAGCTCACAACCAGATTCTATTGGAACAAAAAATATCAATATTCCTATATTTCCAGGTGATAATAATACTAGATCTAATCCAGAAAACTCTGTTTATAACTCAATAAATTCAGTTCTCAACTCAGTTTCTTCTAGAGGCACTAGAAGAGATGATATTAGAAGTTTAGCTATCATCGCTCAATACAAAATTCGAGATGATGAAATTACTACTTTTTCTAATAATCAGCCAAAAAGGTATTATAATTATATTTATGCAGAATTTCAATTTACAAAGTAAAAACCATACTTTTTTTTTTCCTCGATCAACCTTTTGTTGACCCGTTTCCATGAGAATAGGTTTTTTTTCATTTGCTTCCTGAGATGAAAATGTTCTATAATAGTGGTTTCTTCTTTAACTAGATTAATAGCTAAAATATTATCTTGATTATCACTATTTGTACTGATTTTATTCATTGTGTCATAATTAAGCATATAGTGATAAGTGAGTATGTTGAAAAGTTCTTTGAGTTTCATAAAGCTTTTCAATCATATTTAAATACTGGATCCTTTGTTTAGGAACAGTAGCTTTATTCATTTTAGACTTAAAATGTTTTATTAAACTTTTATAAGATTTAAAATCAATCTTTTCTTGTTTAGAAAATTGTAATGAATTTGATGATGATGGGTTGTCATCATAAAGAGCAAGTATAGTATTTTCGTAGTACAAAAATTCAAAGTCATTGGTTTGACTTATATTATTAATTTGTTGATTAAGATTATCTATTTTAGATTCTATTAACTCTACTTTAATAAAAACACGTTTAAAGAAAAATGCTTCTAGTACCTAAGATCCTCTGTTTTTCAAAAGCTAGATAAAACGACAACAGAAATGCCAAAACTAGCATAAAAACAAAAAAATAGTTATATGAGTTTTGAAACACAGCAATAAAATCAAATTTTGAAAAAGTAAAAAAAAACTTACAATATAAAATGCAAAAAAAACTTTAAAATATATATATATCTGCAAACTATATATACACAAGCTCTGATACCAATTACATAGTTAGCAAAGAAAGGAAAGACAGAAAGCAAATGAAAGAGAAGGAGAAAAAACAATTCTAAAGGAGAGAATTCATTGTCCTCCCACTTAGTGTGATCTCTTTATTTATAATTACAAAAAAATTCTAGTTAAGTTTTATAAACTATAGTTGAAACTCTAATTGGGTTTAAAATATCAAAAGAATCTTTGCTATCAACCATTACTTTTAATGTTGATTTATAAAAAATTACTTTTTAAGAGGCTTGCAGAAGTTGTTTAGTCTTGTAACTGTTTTATCAAATTTATCATTCTTGAATATTCTCGAGATTAGTTAGTCCTTCATCATCAACCTGAGCTAAAACTTGTGGATATTGAGATTTTATGATTTCACAGTGCAAGGTTTTTGCATGATCCATCATGGTAATTCCAACTTCAAATTGATATTGATTGGGAGAAGAAAATTTCTTTAAAGCTTAGTTAAACTTTTCAAAATCTTCATTAACTTTTTGGACCTCCTATTAATTTTTGAATTTCCTAAATCTAATAGGGTTGGATAAATCTCTCTTTGAAAAATTCCCAATAAACTAGTAA